TGAAGCTCTTGGGAATTCGCATTGGCTCAGCCGGCCGGCATGATTCCTCGTAAATGAAAGTATCGATTTCGCGCGCCGTGTTGCTCGTCGTCCTACTTGAAATTAAGTCATGATCAACTGCTCGTAGGATCTTAAGTTTCTCAAGACCTTTAAGAAGTTTGGCCCCTTTCCGCGAATAGTCCCCGCTGCCGTTTCTCTTCACCCTCGGGTGCGAGGATATTAACAGCTCACCTACTCGCGTGCTATGTATCGAGCTCGAGTGCTTTCGGGCGTGTAGCTTTGGGCCCAGCTGGATAAGCTTTTGTTGGGTTCCGAGGAAGGGGCGGCGCCTTGTCGAACCGTAAAAACTAACGTGTCCTTGAAGCTCGCGATTCGTACCGTTTCAATGGACAAATAATGCATTTATTTGCCTGAAACGCGGATCACCAGTGTGTTCAATCCACCCGAATCGCCTATTTCGAATAAATAGTACGCGATTCGAGTGGCGGTACGCTTAGCCAGATACTGAGCTTGTACCCGTTGTTGTAATTAAAATGCAGTGCTGCTGGCGGTGGAATGGCGAGGGACGGATGATGAGGGGCGGGGGGGGGGGGGAGGGGGAGCAGCAGCATCTTACTCGTGCCTATCGGAAACGATGTAGCAATTAAGCTCTAAAGCCAGCGCCGTCGCCAAAGGCAAAACGGTGTGTTATCAGTGTTACGCGACGCGCTTTATATCCTTTCATCCCTCCACCCCTCCCATTGACCCCCCCCCCGTACATATACAAGAAAACTAATTTTGAGCTCGTACTAATCGTGAATTTTTATCGTGTCTTTTTAACGCTGATGCGCGTTACACGGTAAACAATGGGGGGTGGGGGATGGTGGGATGGGGGGATGGGGGGATGGGGATGGGAGCAGTTGAGCTGTCCCTGGAAAAATCGAGAAGAAACAGGATGATATATCTCTCCATCTCTATTTCAGTGAAACTTTGTATCTATAGTGTTCAATGTTTTTAAACCTTAGTTTATATTGCTTTTAGCCCAATGGGCTTTGGCTACTCTCGAGACTCCATCAGTGCACGCGTCTTTTCATCGAGTCTTTTAATATATCCATCTCGTAATTAATTAGATAATAATAATATCGGATAATAAAGTCGGTGCCTGATGGTGTTTCGATATACTTGTGAGCAAGCTAGCTTTTGTCGAAAAATTAAAAATCTTCTCGATGCGCGCATGAATCATTTGGGTTATAATTAACCTTGCCGATTGTCATTTAGTACTTTCCAAAATATTTTTGTTTTCGAATATTGTCTGTTCGTTGAAAGTGTCCGAACATACTACAGAATTTCGTTTTGGAAGCGTTCCAACTATGTTTCTAAAACTGTTGGTTTTGAAATGTATGCTGCATTAATGAGTTTTAAATACAAATTCTTGTTCCAATTCAATTCTATGCTTGTATTGATTTTACATATTAGTCGAGAGATTATGCTGCCGAAAAGACAATATTTATTTATAAACATTATAGCACTGCTTAACAAAAGCACCTTCCACATAATGGTATAGTGCTTTTTGTTTATTGTATGTTTATCGAGTTTATCGTTGTTTTCTCGTAGAATAATCCGCGTGAGATTATGTACATGTGGGAGTCATAATAATTTTAAAATCGTTTGCTCTGGATCGTTTAATCGACGAATGAATATTGACGAATGAAATGAATAATTGCGAATTAAAAAATATGAGCGACGAGTAAACGAACGCTCTAAATGAGGAACAAAAATTCTTGGAATGGAACAATTCGAAAATTCAAAAAATTCCATGCTATTATTAAGACTATTGGGAAATTAATTCAAAACTTCTACGCAGGTAAAAAATTTATTCCACTGTAAATATAATATAATAACTTCGTTTTAATACCGAGTCTTTTAATTATAAATAAACATCGGTATATTATCTTTGATAATTCACAAATATTTAAGCTCGCGAGATAATACCATATTAATATAATAGATACACAAAAAATTACTAGACTCCTTTATCACGCAAATATTACCTCAATAATAAATTCATATAAAATAATTATAAGAAATTATACGTATCTCTTATCTATTTATTATTATTATTATTATTATTATTTTATTTTATTTTATTTATTATTTTTTTTTTTTTCATTTAATTCCAGCCTCTTTTTCCCGTTATAATACTTATAACATAATTAAGTATAAAATGTTAAACTTCAATACGAGAAGATTCAATTTTTTAAGAAATATATATGGACTTTACGAATGTGTGATGTAAAATGATTGGATAAGCTTACAATGTCTCTGGGGATCAATTGACACGTTACAGTTGCTCCATTTCCTTTGCTGGAAATTTTTACGAGCGGCCATTTAAAGAGCATCAAACGTTCCGAGCATTCATTGATTGCGCTGCTTCTATGTGAAATTTGTGTGTCGCTTCGAGCTATAAAGTAGGTCATCACTGCACATTTTCATCACGATCGCTGAAATAATTTGCAATATTCTCTTCTTTTAGGATCAAGTCACTTTTGGCTAAACCTCTCTTCAATTCTTTCTCCTAACAGTCTTTCTTTATCCTAGCGACATTGCAATAATTTATTATATTGATAGGCAATATATGATAATATAAGATAATATAAGATAGATAATAATCCCAGCAGTATGTATATATTTCAAGAACAATAATATTGATGAATTGGTCAATAATTACCTAGAAAGGTCATTGTAATGACAAAGGCAAATGTAGTGTTTTTAAATTGACGCGAAGGTTATTTTGAC